CATGGGCGCCTCAGGAACCGCCCTGGGACCGCCTTGGGCCGTCTTGGGGCCCTCCCGGGGGCCTCCTGGGCCCTATTGTGACGATCTTGGGAGACAATCTTGTCGTCTTGGGCGCGTTGACGACGGAAAGCACGGAAATTGCCAAAATGATCGTTTTCCTTAAGGGTGAGGATTTTCCCTCGTTCGGGCTCTCTCGGGGTTCTTTTTGGATTCCACTTGGAGCAATTTGAACGCCTCTTGGGCCGTCACGAGGCTATCTTGGGCGTCTTCGAGCACTCTTGGACCATCTCGGAAACCCTCTTGGACCGTCTCAAGGCGTCTTGGGGTCCTCTCGGAGAGTTCCGCTACTAGGGTCTCGGAGCGCTCTTGGGCCTTCCTGGAAGCGCGCCGAGGCCAGCTGGGGCTCGCGAGGGCCCGCAGGGGGCGCCGGAGGAATGTGTCCGACCCCCGCCCTTCTCGCACGCGCGGGGCCCTGCAATGTAGTAGAGATGACGTCGGGCTCCAGCTTCGCCTCCCACATCTCGCTCAGCAGCGCCAGCGCAGGCTGCCACTGGCCGCCCCTCTCGCACGCGCTGATCCCAGCGCTGTAGCTGATGACGTTGGTCTCCAGCTTCGCCTCCCACATCTCACTAAGCACAGACAACGCGTGTTGCCATTGCCCGCCTTTTCTGCATGCGCTGACAGTCGCAACGTAGTGGCGTGGGACGAGTTGCACGCTCAATCGAATTCCTTCGCGGAGCAACCGCAGTGCGGCGCTCCATTGTTTTGTCAGGCCGCAATGCTTGATCGACGCTTCGAGTGACATGCCGAGTTCGACATGGCGCCGGGGCTTGAGCCAAAATGGCTTGAGCCAAAATGGCTTGAGCCACATGCACAACAATAACAAAACGTCGGATGTGTTTGGGGAGGAGGGGGAGAGGAGGAGGAGGAGGAGGAGGAGGAGGAGGAGGAGGAGGAGAAGAAGAAGGAGGAGGAGGAGGAGGCGGCGGCGGCGGCGGAGGAGGAGGAGGAGGAAGGAGAAGGAGGGAGGAGAAGGAGGGAGGAGAAGGAGGGAGGAGAAGGAGGGAGGAGAAGGAGGACGCGGGAGGAGGAGGTGGAGGAGGGAAAAGGCAGGAAAAAGATAGGGAGGGAGGATGAGGGAGGAGTAGGAGGAGGGAGGAGGAAGAAGGGGGCAGGGAGGAGGATGGGGAGGACGAGGGACGAGGAGGAGGAGGAGGAAGAGGAGAAGGAGGAGGAGGATTAGGTGAAGGGAGGAGAAGGAGGATGAGAAGGAGGAGGTCGAGGAGGAGAAGGAGGAGGAGAAGGAGGCAGGGAGAGAGGGAGGGAATGAGGAATAATGAAGGAGGAGGAGGACAGAGGGAAGGAGGAGGGAGGAGAGAGGAGGAAGGGAGGGAGGATGAGGAGGACGAGGGGGGAGGGGAGGAGGAGGAGGAGGAGGAGGAGGAGGAGGAGGAGGAGGAGGAGGTGGGAGGAGGCAGGAGAGAGGGAGGGAGGGAGAATGAGGAAGAATGAAGGAGGAGGAGGACAGAGGGAAGGAGGAGGAAGAAGGGAGGAGGAGGAGGAGGAGGAGGAGGAGGAGGAGAAGGAGGAGGAGGAGAAGGGGGAGGAGTAAGGTGGAGTGAGGAGGAGGGAGGCGAGAGGAGGGAGGAAGAGGAGGAGGGAGGGAGGGAAGGGCTCCAGACGGGCCACGAGAGCCCCAAGACGGCCCAAGAGACCCCAAGATGCCCTTGGAAGGCCCCCGAGGAGCACTCTAAAAGCCCCGGGAAGACTACAGGGTGGCCCAAGAGGGCCGCAAGAGGCCTCCTCCCCCTCCTCCTCCCCCTCCTTCTCCTCCTTCTCCTCGTTCTCCTCCCTCCCTTTCCCAGGTGTGTTCCCCAGGCTGGGGTAACATATAGTTCAACAGCTTGGCCATACTTTGTCCCAACATTTGACTCCACAGGCATTTCCAAAAAGCATGGGGCAAGGGTGGTTCAGCGAAGGCGGCTTTCATCAGCCATCTCTGTAGCCTGCAAAGTGTGAATGGCGTGCTGGATGCTCGAGCTCTTTCGGGCCCTTCCAGAAAGTTCCAAATGGACTTCGGCCCATCCCGCCAGCCCCGCGCAAAAACAGGCCGACATCGATCCCGCCCAAGATGGCCTTCAGCACGGCCAAGATGGTCAAAGATGCACACCATACCTTCAAGCCGACTCAAGATAACTCCGAAATGGCCCAAAGACGGCTCATCCTGTAAAATTCAGTCCAAAATGGCTCCAAGATGGTCCAAGACGGCCTCGAAACGGCCTAAGAGGCCTCGAAGAGACCCTCAAGGAGGGCCCGACGAGGCACACCTCATTTATTCCCGCATGGTTGTGTGTGTTTTAATCCTCGAATTTTCAAGCTTCCGACCTTCAGAGCGCCGAAGACGGCCCCGGAGGACTCTGAAAGCCCCCAAGACAGCCCCAAGACCGACCAAGAGGGCCCCCGACATCTCTACTTCGGCCCTGGGGCGCCCCCAGAAGGCCCCACGACGGCCCAGAAAGGCCCCCGAGACGGCCTCCGAAGGCCAAGAGAGGCCCTGAGGTCCCCCAGAGGCCCCTCAGATGCCCCGAAGAAGTCCCTGATACGCCCCCAGGAAGAGAGCTCCACGAGACCTCATCCTCCTTCTACTCCTTGGCTCATGATTTGGCCGCCTAGGCAAGGGGCGGAGGTGGTTCGCCGCAAGCATTTTCGATACGGGTACCCTATGATGGCCCGACTGGTCCAGGATGTTGCCATCCTCCTTCCCCCCCCTCCTCCTCCTCATGACTTCTCTCCCATCTTCTTCCCCTTCCCACTCCTCCCTCCTCCTCCCCCTCCTCCTCCTCCTCCTCCTCCTCCTCCTCCTCCTCTCTTTCCTCTCCTCCTCCTCCCTCCTCCCCTCCTCCTCCCCCTCCTCCTCCTCCTCCTCCCTCCTCCTCCTCCTCTTCCTCCTCCTCCTCCTTCTCCTTCTCCTCCTCCTCCTCCTCCTCCTCCTCCTCCTCCTCTTCCTCCTCCTCTTTCTCTTCCTCCTCCTCCTCCTCCTCCTCCTTCTCCTCCTTCTCCCCCTAGCGTCAGCTGGCACGAGCGCGGAGCCCGTGGCCAGCCAGCGCCAGGGGCGCCGCCGGGGCGCCGCCGCCCTCTCGCCCTCCCCCCCGTTCCCACCCGCCTCCGAGGCACCCAGCCCGACGCCATGGAGGCCGCTGCCGAGCACCGGTGGCGCCCGCGGCGCAGCCCGCCGCGCCCCGCGGCCGCCCGCAGGGCCCAGTACCTCCGGGCGGAGGCACGCGTCGCGGAGCACCTGCTGCGCTGCTTCGAGGAGCTGGCGCAGCACCGAGGCAGGCAGCCCACGCGGCTGGCCACGGCCTTGGTGAAGGCGCTGGCCGAGCGCGCCGACCCAGCCGGCGACGGCCCTGGCGAGCGCGAGCCGCCGTCCGAGGCGCACGCGGAGGCGCTGGCCCAAGACGCGCTGGCGGCCGCCCGCGCGCCAGGACCAGGGCACGACTTGCTGGAACGGCTAAGGCATGAGGCCCGTGCCGAGCGGCAGGCGGAGGCCGCGCGCGGCGCAGAGAGCACGGCGGGGGCTGAGCTCAGGCCCGAGGCGCTGGCCGAGCAGCAGGCCGCGACTGCCGAGGCGCTGGCGGCCGCTCGCGCCGCGGGGCTGGAGCAGCACCTGGAGACCGAGCAACTGGCGGAGGCAGCGCAGGGCGCCGAGGCCGAAACCTCGTGCCCGACGGAGGCGGAGCACACGGCCGCCGAGGCCGCGCCCCTCGGGAGCCTGCTACGAGCGGCCAGTGCCGCGGAGCGGGCCAGGCCAGAAGACGCCGCGCTGGCGACCCGAGCCCACGCCTCGGGCGGAGCGGCCAGGGACGCCAGCGGCGGACAAGAGCCGAACTACCAGGAGCTGCACTCCAAGGGACAGCTGGCGAGGCTGCAGGCCGCCGAGCAGCGGGCCACAGGGCGGCGGCGCCGAGCAGCACCGCTGGCCTAGGCGCGCGCCCCCCCGGGCCCGAGCGCCGCCGACCGCCGATGGCGAGGAGGCGCCCGCGCGCGGCGGGCCGAAGGCCAAGCGGCTGGCTGACGCGCGGCGCCGCGCCGCAGACGCCCGCGCGCAGCTGGCCGCGGCGCAAGCGGACGCCCTCGCAACGGAGGCCGCGGCGCGGACGGCGCAGGACGCGCTGCTGCGGCCGGCGGCCGCACGCCAGGGGGCAGCTGAGGCCGCGAAGGAGGCCGCGCTCCAGCAGGCGGCGGACGCACGCCAGGAGGCCGGCGATGCCGCAAAGGAGGCCGAGCGCCTGGAGGCCGCCCCTGAGGCGGATCACGACGCGGGCGCGGAGAAGCAGGGCGGGAGGGCGGGCACGAGCGCTGCCTCAGCGGCCGCCCCATACCCCGAGCGGGAGCCCCTTGAGAATGGGGGCATACGGGGGCATACCCGGGGGAGGGGCCCCGGCGCCGCGGGCGTCGCCCGAAGCAGAGGGGCGCAAGCCCGCGCCCGCGGGGCGCCCACCCAGCGCCGCACACCCTGGGGAGCCCGTTGAGAAAGCGGGCGCACCCAGGGGAGCGGCCAGGGAGCGGGGCCCGCGGCGCGGGGAGAGCGCCAGAAGGACGGAGCGGGCGCCGCCCAGAGCCGCAAACCCTGGGGAGCCCGTTGAGAAAGCGGGCACACCCAAGGGACCGGCCAGAGGTCGAGCGCACCGCCAGCGGCGCCCGAGCGCGGACGCCCCATACCCTGGACGGGAGCCCCTTGAGAATGGGGGCATGCCTGGGGGAGGGGCAAGCGCGGCGGCCAGACAGCCACTGCGGCTGGGGGGAAACTGCTGGAAACTCCTCCTCCTCCTCCTCCTCCTCCTTCTCCTCCTCCTCCTCCTCCTGCTCGAGGTGTAGGGGCAAGCAAGGACGGCGGATCGGGAACCCTGCCTTTTGTCGCAGCCAATCTTCGCGAGGCGCTTCTGTGATCAGAGTCGCTTGGAATGCAGGGCTAGCACTAACAAGTATTTTGGAATAGCGAATTCTATCGCCAGTCAGAAACATCTGCAGACCTACCCCGACACCCCCCTTGCCCTAAATCCGTCGCCTCGAAGAAATCGCGACATACGTTTACGATCCTCTTCAGATCGGGCCTCTGGGGCCCGTTTTGGGGACTGGGCCGCCAATGCACGCTGGTCCCAAGGATGGAGACGATAGGTCCGGGCGCCACAACTGGTGTCCAACTCCTCCTCCACGCACGTAGGGAGGATTTGCACAGACGCTCGGAATATGATCCATGCCACTGATCACGCCCAATCGCCACGAAAGGCTTGATGGGAATCAGGCCTCTGAAGCCAAGTTCTTTCTCGGGGCCAAGTTCATCCATGCGCTACACCCTTGGTATCGAGAGGAGGCAGGCAGACTTCATCACATGCGTAGCGCCCCGCATCGGCGGTGAGAGTAAGGGCGGCGGGCGCGGGGTGGGTCGCGGGTGGGTCGCGGGCGGTCGCGGGTGGGTCGCGGGCCGGTCGCGGCTGGGTCGTGGGCCGGGTCGCGAGTGGGACGACGACAGCAGCACATCTCATTTTGAGACTGAAGGTCCTCCGACGGGCCCCGAAGACTCTCCAAAGGCCCTCCGAGGGACAGGGACAGGCGCAGGACAAGTTCGCACACAGGGGCAACGTTAGGGCGGGACTGGCTCGGTGGTGAAGCAATCGACCTACACACGGCGACACATCGCCGATGGATCGCGACATGCCTCCGATTGCGAATCCGCATGCTTCTCGGCGGAGCGGGCTATCCGGCCCCTCTCGGCGATCCATGGGCGATTGGGGGTCGATGCATCCCCCGCCGAGCCCATCCCCCCCGACGTTGCCCCTGATCCCCAGCGAGGTCGTCGGCATCCAGCAAGGTCATGTGCGCGATCCTGATCCTGCTCCTGCCCCTGATCCCCGGTAAGGTCGTGTGCACCATCGGGTCGGTGCACAGACTTCTTTCGGGGGCACCGCTCGCGCGGCCTCCGGGCGCCGCGACAAGGTGGTCTGTCTGTCCAGGCGGGTCGCGCCGACGCGTGGGCAGCGGCATCGAGGCCCGATCGAGGCGCCCACGAGAGAGGCACAGCTCAGGAGGAGGAGCAGGAGGAGGAGGAGGATATCCAAAACTACGGGTGCAGCGACGGCCGCTCCCGGCCCGCGGGTGGGGGACCTGGCCCCTGCCCTGCGCAGTGGACGTTGCCATGCGGAGGCGGGAGGCCCCTGGAGAGTGCAGCAGACACGAGCGACAAGAAATCTTGACGTCAGCAATCTGGGGGCACAGTCCTCGTCGATGTCTAAGGGTCCCGAAGTGCCCCAGAGCTTCTGTGGGTCCCTGGGGCCATCGGGTGATGAGAGGTTCCGTGGGGCACCTGCCGGCACGCCCGTGTCTTACTCGATGTGCCTGCTGCAAAGAGGTTAGATAAGGAAAGAAGCTCACAGGCGCTCAAGCGCTGCTCTTGGCCAACGCCGTCTCCATGTCCTTCCAAACAACCTCCATCGCCTGGTTCGCGTTCACCAGCGACACCCGGCACCCTGCGACACCCCTGGAATCAGGACGGAGGAGGTAGGCAGGATGCGGGATGCGAGCAGAGGGTCAATGGAAGGGAGGAGCGAGGAGGAAGGATGAGCACTTCTCCTCGTGCTCTTACCTCCTCAACGTTTCTCTTCCCTCCTCCGTCTCTCCTCCTCTCGAGCCTCCCATCCTCCCCCATCCTCCACCATCCTCGCAGAACCTCTGGAAGCCCAATGAGAACCAGCACGATCCCGAGCACCCCGTCAAGAACACGGAGCTCTCACACATCTCCCCCGAGAAGGAGGAGGAGGAGGAGGAGGAGGAGCAGAATGAGGAGGACGAACGCTACAGGAGGAGGAGGAGGAGGAGGAGGAGGAGGAGCCCAGCGTAGAAAGGGGAGGGTGAGGAGGAGGAGGAGGAGGAGGAGGAGGAGGAGGAGGAAGAGGACGAGGACGAGGAGGAGGAGGAGGAGAGGAGGAGGAGGAGGAGGACGTCGAGGAGAAGGACGACGAGGAGGGGGTGGAAAGCGAGGACAAGGTGGACCAGGAGGTGGAGCGAGAAAAAGGGCCGCTGCCGCTCCTCCCTCTTCCCTCCCGGCGCCGCCCAGACCTGGCCCGGCGAGCCCCCCTTGGGCACCCCAGCCTGACCACCTCTCCGAACGGCGTCTGGCCGCCGCGGCGCCGAGGAGGTGGAGGAGGAGGGGGACGGAGAGACTGGAGACCAGAGACTGTGCCTCGGCGGAGCGGCCCTGCGCGGGGCTGGGCGGTGGCGAGGGAACCGGCCACACCAAGCTTGGCCCCTGGCTTGGCCCCTGGTCTGGCCGTGCCAGGAGGGAGGGGAAAGAGGAGAACCAGAAGAACAACAAGGAAACCTTAGGAGGCAACTCCTGAGAGGTTTTCGTAAGGACGATTGAGGGCTACTCGGCCTGACTGTGGGGCCATGAAGGCGGATGAGAGCAAATTGAGCCTAGGACTGCACCCCATTCGGCAAAATCAAGCAGAACTATGCAAGCTTAGGCTGGTCGTCGGCAACGCATCTATTAGCGCCGATGCTGCGTTTAATCTTCCAGGAATTGGATCCAAAGAAATCGAGGCGAAGGCTTTCGGAGGTCGTCAGAGAAGGGACAGAGGTTCGGGCAAAATTTACACCCATACCCAGCGCGTCGTGGACTCTTTTGGTTGGAAGTGGCGCCACAAGGCTTAGGCGCAGTGGATATGGACAAGCATCGAGCCTCCAGGGCCAGATGCTGCTCCATATCCAATGCACCTCGGGCTCCTGGGGAAGAGAGCCGGACACTACAGGCCGCAGCGGGCATGGACACAGGCCTTCCCCGCAAGAGATGGGCAGGCGCAGGGGGGGGGGGCTATGAGGAGGAGGGCGAGCGGACGGCCTCGAGGACGACCGACGACGGCGGCACCACCAGGTCACCTCCCCTGCAGCACGCGCTTCGGCTGCACGTAAAAGTTACCCTGGGCAAGGGTGACGTTTGGTGCACGGCTTTTGAGGGGCGCGAGGAAGCCAAATCTGGGCGCGCAGGCTGCAGCTATCGCATCACATTGAGCAATCGGGGGGCCACAAAAGGGCCCGCACCAAAGGTCACTCCAGCAAAGGGTCACTCTTGCCTACGGGTAATCGAGGTCTGTGGACGTGCAAAGGAGAAGGAAGAGGAGTTCCTGTAGTGGGACAGGACCGGCTCGGTCTCGGCGTGGTAGCTCTTCAGGCGATTGGGCAGGGCATCCTGCTGAGGATAGGCGAGGAGGGAGGAGGACATGGAGGGGCATGCCCCTCCCGGCGAGCAGCACGGGGACAACGTCTGATAACATGCTGCGAGGGACTCGAGACCTGCTGCATCTCGCGGCGGCTGGGCAAGGCTCGGGACGCCGGCGCTTGGGAATCGGTCAGCGTGTCGCGCCGAGGTCTGGTCGGCCAGAGCTGGTGGCGCAACACGCTGCGCAAACGCTCTTAGATTTGAGGGCCCAGACCCCGACGTGGTGACTTTGCAACGCGGACCCTTGAAGTCTCGACCCACCCCCTGGGACCAATTGTCATATCTCGAGTCGTGTTTGCAAGTTCTGGGGCCTGGCTGAGGGCCCCAGAGGCAGAACATGTTTTACAACTCTACATGGTGTTTTTGGCAACGAAAGGAGATCAAGGGAGGAGGAAGAGGACATTCCTTCTCCGATTCTGTCTGATCCGCCCCGGGCTCCGTGGTGTCATCCGGACGCTGCATGAGCGCGTCTCCGGTCTCGTCGTCCCGCATGTTCTCCGCGGACGGGGCGGACTTCCCGTCGTACGACTTCGGGGGGTTGAACTTCGTGTGGTAGGAGCGGCCGGAAGCCTTGTGTTCGGCCCCCTCCTCCAACTCCTCCTCCTCCTCCTCCTCCTTCTGCTGATAGCCCATCCTCCACCTCCTCCACCTCCGCCTCCTCCTCCTCCTCCCTGCTGCTCGTCTCCTTCTTCTCCTGTTCACTGCTTATATTCTCCCTCCTCCCTGCCAACTACTCTTCGCCTCTTCGCGTCCTCGTCCTCCTCCACCTCTTCTTCCTCCCTCCCTCCCTCCCTTCCCCTCCCTCCCTTCCTCCCTGCTGCTTCCATCCCGCAACTCATCGCCGACGTCACGCTGCTTCCGTGACGCTGCCAAAGTCGTCTCCTGACGGCCCTGGGGGCCGCGACGGACATCCGGAGGGGCCCACATCAAGGACACAGCTCGAGGCCCACCCTCCCCTTGGCGACGAGCGAGGGGAGGGAAACGAGAAGGAGAAGGCCCTCTCAGCAGCCATCGTGGCTTCTGAGAATTTGTTCTGTGCCTTCGGGGAAGGCTTAGAAAACTTCTCAGGAGGCCGGGGGACTGCCGAGCCCTCCGAGAAGGCCCGCCCCACTCTCACTTCCCCTCTGCGCTCGCCGCCGACCCTGGCGGCAAGGGGCGACTCGTCACAGGGCGTCGGCTAACGGCCCAGGGCTTCGAGACGGCTCCCCGGCAGCCCAGACAGGCCCAGACAGGAGGGCAGAGCGGCCAGATCTGTCCGAGGGCCCTGTGCTCGCCGAGCCCCCAAATCCCGTTCCCGTGCAAGCGGAAGGCAAGGTCGCGTCCGATGCAGCACACACTCCTCACACGTTGCCGACCCGTCACAGGCAAGCTCGTGCGATAACCTGTGGCCACACACTAGCACGCCCTTACGGCCAAGTGCTGGATGAAGAGTCGACAAGAGTGCATCCTTTCGCATCACGTGGCAGCTGCTTCCCAGGGGCAGCACACATCCTATCTTGAACAGGCCACGCAGCCTACCCGGGGGTCCTGGCGTCTCCACTTTCTCGAGCGGGGTGCCTTCGCTCAATTTCGGGCCCCCCGACCCTCACAGATCGATCCGGCTCAAAAAACGACGCAGGAATATTGGGTCTGGGGGCACGGTCGTGCTTTTTGTTGCGATATGGGGGAGCCCACAAAGGACGCACGCGCCCAGCTATGTACATGAATGCGGCCCCTCGATCCGCGAGACTGGCCGCGTGATACGAACATTCGGGCAATGCGTACTCTCGAAACCAGCGTGGATTCATGTCCGTGTACGTCCCTCTTTCGCTCCTGAGATATTGCATTCTTGTTCGCGACGTTGGATCTCGGGGCAGAACCTTCGGTCGGCGGCGCGCCCGGGAGGGAAGGCAGCGGGGGCTGGCCTTCGCAGCAGGGGGCGGGGTCTCCTCAGAGGCCCTCGCACCTTCTGGGGGGCCACATGCGAACCCCACCCCCACCCCCGACGATTTCTGAAGGGGGAGGGTGGGGCTCACCTCGTTCGGGAGCTCCCGAGGGAAGTGAACCCCACCCTCCCCCTCCAGAACTCGTGGGGGGTAGGGGTAGGGTTCGCCTGTGGCCCCCTACCTTCCGAGAGGCCCTTCGCGGCCTCGGAGCAGGCCCCGCTGCCCTCTGAGAACGCCGGGCCCCGCTGCCGCTTGCCTCACCAAAGGCGCGCCGCCGATTTGGCGCAGTGATCTTCCCAGACATCCGACGTCTGGAAGTTTTCAACACACGGTCCCGGGAGACCCAGCCCGTTCACCAGGGCTGGATTTTTCATGCCGGCCAATTTCTTGACTGTCCCGAGCCCCCCGGCGAAGGCCCCAGACGACAAAAATGTGTAAAAAGGTCCTGTCGCGATGTTTCCCGGCCATCCGTCCTCTGCTCCTCTCCCTCCTCCATCCATTCTTTTTCCTTATCTGTAAGTCCTCCCTGTCGCACTCCGAGACGTTGGTAGGGCGGGCAGGGCGTTTCGCCTGAGACTCCTTCACCAGTTGTGATCCTTAAACTGAGAGTTTGCGACAGTTTCAGGAAGGAGGGCGGGCCATTGTCAAAATGTGGCTCTCGCCTGAGCGCCGCGCAGAACAAATGCAAGAGCTTCGCGGATGGTGGGCGGGTGGTGTGTAAAAGTTTGCTCTCGCCATAGCGCCACACACACTCGCCTAAAAAAATAACCTGACACAGGACCCAACCATATGCAGCTGCGAGTACCGCGAAGGATATAAGACGGAGGAGGGGGGCCCGCGGTGGCCCAAGCCCCGTGCGCGGCCGTTTTGTCTTCATTTTCTTCCCAGCTCATTCTCCTCTCTCTTGCGCCTAGACCTCCGACGAGCCGTGATTTTGTGAAGACAACGTTTTCGGACCCTGGGCCCATCAGAAATCGGCCCGGGCCGAAACAAACTAAAGCAGGGAAGAGGTCGAGAGCTCCAGGGGCACGGGTCAAGGACCAAACAACACATAACAATACGTCGACGATGTTTGCTTGCACCTGCACAGCAGGCTCGCGCACGCAAGATGCCAATCAGACTCGACAAATTCGGAGATCATCCCTACAGATGTATAGTGTGGTTGGCACGCACACAGACCGATGAATGAGAATCCAAGTGCATTTCAAAACCCTTGTGTGAACATCGTTCAGCACTCTCTAGAAAGAGATGGCGGTGACGCATGTAAACCCTACCACTGGGGCCTTCGGCCACTGGGGCCTTCGGTAGAGCTCCCTGGGCTTCCTATGGGGCCACGAATCGTTTGAGGGGTGCGCCGAAATGGGTTGCGGTGACGCATGTAACCCTGCCACTGGGGCCTTCGGCCACTGGAACCTTCGGTGGAGCTCCTTATGGGGCTACGAACCATGTTAGGGGTGTGCCGAAATGGGTGGCACTGACGAATGCAATCGCTGCCACTGGAACCTTCGGTGGAGCTCCCTATGGGGCCACGCACCGTGTTAGGGGTGTGCCGAAATGGGTGGCGCTGACGCATGCAACCGCTGCCACTGGAGCCTTCGGTAGAACTCCCTGTGGGGCCACGAACCGTGTGAGGGATGTGCCGAAATGAGTGGCGCTGACGCATGCAACCGCTGCCACTGAAGCCTTCGGTGGAACTCCCTGTGGGGCCACGCACCGTGTTAGGGGTGTGCCGAAATGGGTGGCGCTGACGCATGCAACCGCTGCCACTGGAGCCTTCGGTAGAACTCCCTGTGGGGCCACGAACCGTGTGAGGGGTGTGCCGAAATGAGTGGCGCTGACGCATGCAACCGCTGCCACTGGAGCCTTCGGTGGAACTCCCTGTGGGGCTACGAACCGTGTGAGGGGTGTGCCGAAATGGCTGGCGCTGGCGCATGCAACGGCTGCCACTGGAGCCTTCGGTAGAGCTCCCTATGGGGCCACGCACCCTGTTAGGGGTGTGCCGAAATGGGTGGCGTTGACGCATGCAACCGCTTCCACTGGAGCCTTCGATGGAGCTCCCTATGGGGCCACGAACCGTGTGAGGGGTTTGCCGAAATGGGTGGCACTGGCGAATGCAATCGCTGCCACTGGAGCCTTCGATGGAGCTCCCTATGGGGCCACGCACCGTGTTAGGGGTGTGCCGACAGGGGTGGCGCTGATGCATGCAACCGCTGCCACTGGAGCCTTCGGTGGAGCCCCCTTATGGGGCCACGAACCGTGTGAGGGGTGTGCCGAAACTGTGGGCCTGCGGTGATGACGATGAACGGTGATGACTTGCGGAAGGCAGAGGCCTGGATGGGAGGAGGGAGGGCAGCGAGAGATGGGAGGAGGGGGAGGGGGCCTGCGGTGATGACGATGAACGATGATGACATGTGAAAGGCAAAGGCAGGGATATTAGGGGGGGAGGGCAGCGAGAGATGGGAGGAGGGGGAGGGGGCAGCGGGAGGAGGAGGTGACGCGGGGCGCTGTCTCTTCAAAACGAAGACCCAACACCACAGTACGGTTGGGAATTATACGAGCTTCACGGATGGAGGGCGGTCTGTTTTCAAATTGTGGCTCTCACCCCAGTTCGTCTCAAGAGTTCACAACAAGCTCAAGGGTTCTTATGGGCAGCGTCCCAGGCATCGTGTTTTGGCACGATGTAGGACTCCAGGGGCGCAAGGGTTACGTTTATTCGCGGTGCTGAAGTCCGAGGAGTGGTGTTCTGGCACGTTTCACGGTCGTCAGGACGCAGCAGTAACGTTGATTCGCGGCGTTGAAGTCCCAGGAATGGTTCCCAGGCGCGGTTCGGGGTTTTCAGATGGTTGTCTTCCAACGGGGCGTTTCCCTCAATGAAAACGAATTCTTGTCTTGGAGAGAGGGTGTATTGCAACGTCGTTGATTAACATCGAATGTAAACAAAACTTCCTCGCCTCGTCCCCCTTCCTCTCCTCCCTCCTCCCGTCCCTGCCCCAGCCGTCCGCATGTCCATTCCGGCACAACCCTCACGCGCTTCGTTGCCCCATGGGGAGCTCCACCGAAGGCCCAATGGCAGCGCCCGCATGGCGGCCCCGCCCCATCGTGGCACGCCTTTCACGCGACTCGTTGCCCCATGGGTAACTCCACCGAAGGCCCCACTGGCAGCGCCCACGTGACGGCCCGCACCCCCACTTCGCGGAGGGAGCTATGCCTCCTTTGTCCCGCCTGACTTATTAATGCCCAAGCTTGTATATAGTTGGGTCCTCCGTCAAGATCAGAGGGAGGGGTCGAACAATCATTCACTCTGGGCGCGCGGCTAAAGCGGAATCCACGGTGCGGATTGTTTTTGTGGCGTTGTTGCTGCCGTCGACCTCGCCCGCGACCTGCCCGCGACCCACCCGCGAGCACCCCGCGAGCCCCCCGCGACCCACCCGCGACCCACCCCGCGACCCCCCCCCTGACCCACCCGCGACCCACCCACATTGATCTGACGAACATTCGGCGCCAGCGGCGGGCTTCTTCGGAACCTCGCACACTGCCGGCGACCCCGCCGCCCGCGCCCGCCCGCCTCACGCGTATCCGCACCTGCGGGGTGCTACCTTACAGTGGAGGCCAATCCAGAAGAAACCTTCCACAAGAAATCCAACCCTGAGACCCAGGGCGCTTCACATCGCAACACCATCGACACGTAGGTCGGGCATGTCCTCCTACAGGGCGATGTTGGAAGATGGTTTACCATGTAAAAACAAGAATCCGCCGATCCGTGTGAGTTTAAGGAGGGGTTGACCAGGGTGGCTCTGCCGGGGTAGGGGGAGGGGAGATGGGGGGGGCCCGGTGGCGTGGGTTCCGGTGGCGTGCGGGGGGGGGTCCGATCCCCCGTCCCGCCTGTGAACAAGGGGAAGTGGGGGAAGAGGGTGGGGGGGGGTTCTGGTGGCCGGGGTGGATCTGCCGGAGTAGGAGTAGGGGTAGGGGGGGGGGGAATCTGGTGGCGTGGGTTTCAGTGGCGTGGGGGGGGGAGGGTTCTAGTCCCCCGTCCCGCCTGTGGACAAGGGGGAATTGGGGGAACAAGGGCGGGGGTGGTGTGGGGGAGAAGTAGGGGGGTTCCGTGGCGCGTGAGTTTGAATGAGTCTCAGCTGCAGCCTCGAGGCTGAGCTTCAGCCTCTAGGGGCGTTGCCGCGGTGGCTCTGCCGGGGAAGGAGGGGAGGGGGGGTGCGCGCGTGCGCGCGGGGTAATGTTTGTCCGTGTACGCGAGCAGAGATTCGGGGAAATAGGGAGAGAGAAGTGCAACGGAACGAATGGGGGAGAAGACGAAGGTGGCGGTGAAATGCGTGTCTGTTGTGTGGTGTGCGTGCGTTTGTGCGGTGTGCGTTGCGTGTGTATGTGTGTGCGTTTGCGTGTGTATGTGTGCGTGTGTGCGTGTGTGTGTGTGTGTGTTGCCGGCGTGTGCGTGCGCATGTGCCTGCGAAGGTGGCGCGCGTGTGTATGTGGTGTGTGTATGTAGTGTGTGTGTGTGTGTATGTGTGTGTGCGTGTGCGCGTATGTGCGCGCGTGCGCGCAATGTCTGCGAGCGTGCGCGCGCGTCTGTCGGCGAAAAGTCGCCGCCCAGTCTGAGGGGCATCCCAAGCAATCCGGATCGGCGGCACTGGCCGAAGGCCACTACAATAATAAAACAAGTATGTAGAAGAAAAAGCGTCGCCATACTATTTCTTCACTACTTTTGGCATCTTTCTCCTGCAGAGGGACGTGACCGACTTAAATCAAAACCCGAGAAGCCCCTTGGCAGCCCTGGAGGCGAGCAGGATGCTTCTTGGCATGGGCCCCCACTGCCTCTCACGACGCGAGCGCGCTCGGGCTCAGCCCGAGTGCAGCTCGGCCGGGCGGGGCGGGCCTGCCCAAGACGGCGCCGCCCGACCGCCCGTCCTCCCCTTGGGCGCCTCGGCCGCATGCGTGCCGACCACTCCGGGACCGCGCGACGGTCTGTAGGGATTCCATGGGGATCCCAGGAGGGCCTGCAGGGAGTTCGTAGGGATCCCATGGAGGTCTGTCGGGAGTCCAGCGGGGTCCCATGAGGGTCTGCAGGATCCCATGGGGATCCCATGAAGGCCTGTATGGATCCCATAGGGATCCCATGAGGGTATGTAGGGATCCCATGGGGATCCCGTGACGGTCTGTCGGGAGTCCATCGGGATCCCATGATGGTCTGTAGGGATCCTATGGGGATCCCTTAAGGGTCTGCAAGGAACCCATTGGGATCCCAGGAGGGTCTGTAGGGATCCCATGAGGATCCCATGAGGGCCTGTAGGGAACCCATATAAATCACATGATGGTCTGTAGGGATCCCACAAGGACCCCATGAGAGGTCTGTAGGGATCACATAGGGATCCCGTGCGGGTCCGTATGGATCCCATGGGGATCCCATGAGGGTCTGTAGGGAAACCAAAGGGATCCCATGAGGGTCTGCAGGAAGCCACAGGGATCCCATGAGGGTCTGTAGAGAGCCCACAGGGATCCCATGAGGGTCCGTGGGGATTTCACAGGGATCCCATGAGGGTCTGTAGGGTTTCCATGAGGGCCTGCATGGATCCCATAGGGATCCCATGAGGGTATGCAGGGATCCCATGGGGATCCCATGAGGTTTAAGCGGATCCATAGGGATCCCATGAGGGCCTTTTAGGAATCCGATAGGGACCCCTTAAGGGTCTGTAGGGAACCCATTGGGATCCCAAGAGGGTCTGTAAGGATCACATAGGGATCCCATGACGGCCTATAGGGAGCCATTGTGACCCCACGAGGGTCTATAGGGAGCCCATAGGAATCCCATGAGAGTCTGTAGGGATCCCATCGGGATCCCATGAGGGTCTGTCGAGATCCCCTGGGGACCGCATGAGGGTCTTTTGGGAGCCTGTGGGGATTCCATAAGGGCATGTAGGGGCCCCATATGGCTTCCATGGGGAGCCCACGGGGATCTCATGAGGGTCTGTAGGGATCCCATGGGGATCCCATGAGGGCCTGCAGGAACCCACACGGATCCCATGAGGGTCAGCAGGGAGCCCATGGGGATCCCATAAGGGTCTGTAGGGATCGCATCGGGATCCCATGAGGGTCTGCAGGGGGCCCATAGGGACCCCGTGGGGGTCTCGTATAGATCCTACGAGGGTCTGTTTGATTCCCATATGGACCCCATGCGGGTCTGTGGTGAGCCTATAGGGACCCCGCGAGGGCCTGTAGGGATTCCAAAAGGATCCAATGAGGTCTGTAGAGAGCCCATGGGGATCCCACAAGGGTCTGCACGGAGTCCATCGGGATCCCGTGGGGTCTGTGGGGATCCCATAGGGATCCCATGAGGGTCTGTAGGGATCCCATGGGGATCCCATGAGGGTCTCTGGGGAGCCCATCGTAATCCCATGAGGGCCTGCAGGGAGCTCATAGGGATCACATGGGGAACCCATAGGGGGTCTGTAGGGAGTCCATTGGGACCGCTTGAGGGTCTGCAGGGAGCCCATAGGGATCCCATGAGGGCCTGTAGAGGGCCCATAAGAATCGCATAAGGGTCCGTATGGATCCCATGGGGATCCCATGAGGGTCTGCAGGAAGCCCATGGGGATCCCATGATGGTCTGTACGGATCCGATGAGGATGCAATGAGGGTCTATAGGGAGCCCATCCGGATCCCAAGAGGACCAGTAGGGAGCCCATGGGGATCCCATGAGGGTCTGTATGGAATCCACAGGGGTCCCTTGAAGGTCTGTGCGGAGCCCATCGGGATCCCATGACGATCCCAGGAGTGTCCTCAGGGAGCCCATGGTGCTCCCATGAGGGTTGGTAGGGGTCCCATAGGGACCCCACAAGGGCCTGCAGGGATCCCATAGGGATCCCATGAATTTCTGCAGGAAGCACATCGGATCCCATGAAGGTCTGTAGGGATCCCATGAGGATCCGATGAGGGTACGTAGGGAGCCCGTAGGGGTCCCATAAGGATCTGCAGGGAGACCCCTCACACGTCTCGTGGCCTCATAGGGAGCTCCACCCACGGTCCCAGTGGCACCGTCCACACGGGTCCGCCGCACCAATTTCGGCAAACCCCTCACACGTTTCGTGGCGCCATGGGCCACCGTCCGCACGCGTCCGCCACACCCATTTCGCCACACCGCTCACACGATTCGTGGCCCTGCAGGGGCCTCCACCAACGGCCCCAGTGGCACCGTCCACATGCGTCCGCCGCCCACGTTTCGGCACACCCCTCACACGTTTCCTGGCCCCATAGGGAGCTCCACCAAAGGCCCCACTGCCACAGTTCGGCACCATAGGGAGCTTCACCCTAGGCCCCAGTGGCACCTTCCACGTGCGTCCGCCGCACCCATTTCGGCAAACCCCTCATAATTACGTTTCGTGGCCCCATAGGGAGCTCCACCGAAGGCCCCAATGCCACCGTCTACATGCGTCCGCCGCACCCATGTCGGCACACCGCTCACACGTTTCGTGGCCCTGCAGGGAGCTCCACCCACGGCCCCACCGTCCACATGCGTCCGTCGCACCCATGTCGGCACACCCCTCACACGTTTCGTTTGTGGCCCCATAGCCCTCCAGGGAGCCTTACCGAAGGACCCAAGATGTCGTGATTCTTTCCAATCAGGGTCCCCGGTGGCTCCTGGTGGTCTCGGACAGCTTCCCTAGGGCCGGTTCTTCGTCCTCGGTTCAGATCTGACCGTCCCGGGGGCCCCGTTCCAAGAAAGCGACGGGCGGCACGACTTCGTCGTCGCCGCCGTCGTCGTTGTCGCCGCCGCCGCCGCCGCCGTCGTCGTCGCCGTCGCCGCCGTCGTCGTCGTCGTCGTTGGTCGTCGTCGTCGTCTGGGTCGAGGGCCCCAGGGGGGGCTCCGCAGGCCGGGGGAGCAGGAGCGTCGGAGGACTGGGGAGGCCGTCGCCTCGCCGCCGACACATGTCGGCACGCTCCTCACAGGGTTCGTGCCCCGTGGGGAGCTCCGCCGAAGATGCTCACAGCTGCGGTGCTCACAGCTGCCCATGGTTGGGTCCATCGCCAGGACAAGTGTGCATGGAGGCTTGCCAGTTCCCGGCTGACGTGAAGGAGACCCCGCAATGCTGGAACAGGCCGACGAGGAGACGGAGGACGGGGAGGAAAGAGAGAGAGAGGGGGGGACAGAGATGCAGAAGGGCTCAGAAGCGAGATGCTCCCCACGGCCTTATGTATCCACCGTCCAGTGATGCGTTCAAACAACACCTCGTCTGGTATGTTGAGCTCCACGACGATCCCCACGCGCTCGGACGTCTCTTTGAGCATCTCGTCGAGCGCCACGGCCTGAGCCACGGTGCGCGGGAAGCCGTCCAGGATGAACCCATTTCGGCAGTCGGACGCCTGTATCCTTTCGCGGATGATGCCCACAACAATGTCGTCGCTCACCAACTTGCCCGCCGCCATCACCTCCTTGGCCTTCAGGCCAACCTCGGTGCCCTTGGCCACGGCCTCCCTCAACATGTCACCCGTTGACAGCTGGAGCCGTGGTCATGCGGCCGCGCCCAAAGGACCAGAGACCCCCAGAGCAGTCGCGCAGACGTTCCCCAGGGGAAAACCATAAAGCAAACAACAGAATGACGACGTCTGGACCCAAGAGAGCCTCTGCAGCCTACCAGGGGCAATCTGTGGAGTCCAATAAGCTGGATAAAGTCCGCGGACTGCAATCAACACAATGTCATCTAGGTATGGGTGTGATCATCTCGGTGGGACCATACTGGGAGGACCAGGCCGTATCAGCTGCCCAGAAGCACAACAATCCTCTGGGGGCCGTACCATCTGACTCACAACAGTCCTCTGAGGGGCACACGATCTGCTGGACACGCCTTGGGATATCCTCAGAGACTCGTCGCATCGGAACACGAATGAGGAACTATTCCAGAGGTGACTATGATCAGGCCATATATGAGATGTCTGCGGGGTCGATTCGCCGCGAACAAGTGTACACCGCCTAGAACAAAACAAGGTCCTGCCAACGAGGGACAACTCATTAGAGAGTGAGGAAAAGCCCCTGCGGGCAGGCACTGCTTTGGGTAAACGCTCAATATACTATCGGCCGTGTTTGCCTTTATCACCTGGGGGGGTACACATCCGAAAGACTGGGGACACTAATAGTTTGAGAGGGGTGCGTGGCCCGCCCGCAGGAACTGCATGCCGAGGCTGCCCGGCTGCAGTACTCCCGATGGGTCCCTGGTATCCCGCCCTGCGCCCTCGACAAGTGGCGACAGAAGCGATCCGCATACCGCGGCCGCCAGGCCCTCCAACTTCTGGCTGTCTCTGGTGTCCTGCCTCGCGTCCTCAATACATGACGACAGATCTGATGGCATACCCACACGACATACACAAAAACGGGCACCATCTGATACACGAAGAACCAACGCAACCGAAACAACAACATGCATGAGCCGCGGACATATGTCTGAGTGCAGTGCCCTCAGTGCAGTGCTCTCTGAATTGACGGCACAAGAAACGGGCTCTCTCGGGCGCTTTCCTGAACTCCTCGCATGACGTTTCCAAAGGCCCTGGGAGCTTTTACCCTCACTCGACAGGGTGGGGCTTTTAGATCTTAAGAACAGGTCCCCCAACCCGCCCAGCCTTTTTCGGAAGGTGCCGCGAGCTGTCGGAGGCTCCGTGTTCGGCCAGTGGGAGGGCCAATGTTTGACAGCCCTCACGAAGATGGTGGCCTCCGAGGGGGGGGGGGGGAAGAACATCGAGCACCACCCCTCTTTTAATCGACCGCCTCCAAGATAAGAGGCTTTTCAGCCCCTTTGCCTACACATCGCCACGAGATCTCCCAAGAAGCCCGCGACAGGCGACCAACAAGCACCCGAGGGGCTTTTGGATACCCCTGAGAGCCCCCCAAAAAAGGCACCTGGGAAGCTTCGCAGAGGCCCCCCCGATGACCGCAACATGTCTAAACAGAACATCGGGTCCACGACCTTAACATGGCTTCGGGTAGGCCTCATACCGCTATATGACATGCGCGCAACACGTACACGAGCAACATATATAAACCAGTCATGCGCGTACCGTATACCAGCATCCGCACCGCACCAGCTGGCAGCATGAGTCAGCATACGAATTAACATCACGTGCACAACATGCATTGTTATGGCTGGCACAGAGAGCATGTGCCAAGTTATAGCATTGCCAACAATCGCACCCTATAACAATACTGTGAATGTGTAGCACATAACATGCATAACTTCAACAACACAGATAAACATAGGAAGGTTGAAGCACAACGGCTTCCGACGGCGTCAGACGGGCCAGGAGCCCACCAAGATGGCCGAAGGTGGCTAGCAGCTGGCCCAAGACGGCCCAAGAGGCCTCCAAGAGGGCCTCCAGGAAGGCCAGAAAAAGGCCACAAAGACTGATTTCCACAAAGTTTTTGAAGGATTCTGACATTTGCTTCGTTTCGGCCTTCCGACGGCCGATACGGCCCAAGAGCTCCCAAAGATCGCCCACGGATCGCCCAAGAGGCCGCTCAAGATGGCCTCCAAGACGGCCCAAGAGCCCTCCAAGACGTCCTCCAAGAAGGCCCGAAAGGGTCAAAATGGCCTCCAGGCGGCCAAGATGACCTTCAAGATGCCCACGTGTTCCCCGAAGGCTTTCCAAACCGATTCGGGGAACACATGGTCCGATAGCTTGGCAGGCCTCTGGCCAAAACCTTCGGCCACATAGGCGCTTCCAAAAAGGCAGGGGGCGGCGGTGATTCGCCGTAGGCGTCTTCGATCCGCCGCCCCCTGTCGATTCATCGCAGGGGTGCCTGGCGTGCTGAACCCTATCGGTTTTGGTTTTGGCTCTTTTTCCAAAAGAACTCCCCCTGGGGCTTCGGCCCGTCCCGCCGGGGTCCCGGGACGCTTGCCCAGAGGTGGCTGCAAAATCTCCCAAACGGCCGTTTCGCTCTGGACATCTTGCAAACATCCTCCAAGACGGCTCAAGATGGCCTCCAAGATGGCCATGTTGGCCCAAGATGGCCTCCAAGATGGTCCAATATGGCCTCCAAGTCCGCCCAAGATGCTCCAAGACGGCCTCCAAGACGGCCCAAGAGAGTCCAAGACGGCCGAAGACGGCCCAAGAGGCCCCCAGAGGCCTCCAAGACGGCTCAAGGGGCCTTCAAGAGGTTCTCCAGGAGGGACCGAAGAGGCCAAAATCATTGATTGTCCTTAGGTTTTTGAAGGATTGTCGCATTCGCTTCTACTCGGCTTTCCGGCGACCCAAGACGGCCCAAGAGGCCCCCAAGATCGCCCCCACAGCGCCAAAGAGGCTTCCAAAATGGCCTCAGGACTGCCCAAGAGGCCCCAAAGACGGCCCCAAGAGGGCACAGCGACGACCCAAGATGCCTCCAAGACGCCCAAGATGGCCTCTAAGACGGCCCTGGAGCACCCCAAGAGGGCCCCAAGTCGGCCCAGAAAGGCTCCCTGAACGGCTTCCGACGGCGTCAGACGGGCCAGGAGCCCACCAATATGGCCGAAGATGGCTCGAAGCTGGCCCAAGACGTCCCAAGAGGCCTCCAAGAAGGCCTCCGGGAAGGCCACAAAAAGGCAGAACATACAGATTTTCCATAGGTTTTTTGACATTTGCTTCGTTTCGGCCTTCCGACGGCCCGATACGGCCCAAGAGCCCCCACAGATCGCCCAAGAGGCCTCCAAGATGGCCCCAGAACGGCCTTCAAGGCCCCCAAGACGGCCCCAAGAGGCCCCCAAGACGGCCCAGGAGGCCATTCAAGACGCCCAAGATGGCCTCCAAGACGGCAAGTCGGCTCAGAGAGGCCCCCCGAACGGCTTTCGGCGGCGTCGGACGGGCCAGGAGCCCACCAAGACGGCCGCAGATGGCCCCAAGATGGCCCAAGACGGCCCAAGAGGCCTCCAAGAGGGACTCCAGGAAGGCCCGAAAAGGCAAAAAAAAATGATTTCCCACGAGTTTCCTTCCGACGGCCCGAGACGACCCAAGTGCCCCCAAAGATCGCCCAAGAGGCCCAAAACGGCCCCAAGAGGCCCCCAAGACGGCCCAAGAGGGCTTCCAAGACGCTCAAGATGGCCTCCAAGACGGCCCAAGAGCCCTCCAAGACGTCCTCCAAGAAGGCCCGAAAGCGTCAGAATGGCCTCCAGGCGGCCAAGAGGACCTTCAAGATGCCCACGTGAACCCCGAAGACTTTCCAAACCGATTCGGGGAACACATGGTCCGATAGCTTGGCAGGCCTCTGGCCAAAACCTTCGGCCACATAGGCGCTTCCAAAAAGGCAGGGGGCGGCGGTGATTCGCCGTAGGCGTCTTAGATCCGCCGCCCCCTGTCGATTCATCGCAGGGGTGCCTGGCGTGCTGAACCCTGTCGGTTTTGGTTTGGGCTCTTTTTCCCAAAGAACTCCCCCGGGGGCTTCGGCCCGTCCCGCCGGGACCCCCGCAAGACCCATAAGACGCCCAAGCCATCGCCCAATTCCCAAATGTTCCTCCAAGACGGCTCAAGATGGCCTCCAAGATGACCACGTTGGCCCAAGATGGCCTCCAAGATGGTCCAAGATTGCCTCCAAGTCCGCCCAAGATGCTCCAAGACGGCCTCCAAGACGGCCCAAGAGAGTCCAAGACGGCCGAAGATGGCCCAAGAGGTCCCCCAGAGGCCTCCAAGACGGCCCAAGAGGCCTCCAAGAGGTCCTACAGGAGGGCCCGAAGAGGCCAAAATCATTGATTGTCCTTAGGTTTTTGAAGGATTGTCGCATTCGCTTCTTCTCGGCTTTCCGACGACCCAAGACGGCCCAAGAGGCCCCAAAGATCGCCCCCACAGCGCCCAAGAGGCCTCCAAAATGGCCTCGGGACTGCCCAAGAGGCCCCCAAGACGGCCTGAAGAGGGCACAAACTACCCACGAGGCCTCCAAGACGCCCAAGATGGCCTCTAAAGCGTCCTCAAAGAAGGCCCGAGACTGACCAAGTGCCCCCAAAGATCGCCCAAGAGGCCCACGACGGCCCCAAGAGGCCCCCAAGACGGCCCAAGAGGCCTCCAAGACGCTCAAGATGGCCTCCAAGGCGGCCCAAGAGCCCTCCAAGACGTCCTCCAAGAAGGCACGCGAGGGTCAAAATGGCCTCCAGACGGCCAAGATGCCCTTCGAGATGCCCACGTGTTCCCCGAAGGCTTTCCAAACCGATTCGGGGAACACATGGTCCAGTAGCTTGGCAGGTCTGGCCTCAAGGTTCGGCCACATAGGCACTTCCAAAAAGGCAGGGGGCGGCGGTGATTCGCCGTAGGCGTCTTCGATCCGCCGCCCCCTGTTGCTTGCAACAGGGGTACCTGGCGTGCTAGACGATTTCGGCTTTGGTCTTGGTTCTTTTCCAGAGACCCCCTGGGGCTTCGGCCTTTCCCGCCGGGGTGCCGGGAAAGACCTCCGGGCCTGCAAACGACATCAACGTCCGGAAACAATTTTCCAAAACGGCTTAAGATGGCCTCCAAGACGGCCAAGATGGCCCTCAAGCTCGCCCAAGATGGTCCTAGACGGCCTCCCAGACGGCCCAAGAGGGTCCCAGATACGTCCAAGTTCGCCCAAGAAGCCTCCAAGACGGCCGAAGAGGCCCCCAAGAGGTCCTCCAGGAGGGCCCGAAGAGGCCAAAAATCGTTGATTTTCCTTAGGGTTTTGAAGGATTTGGGCATCTTCTTCTCGGCCTTCCGACGGCTCAAGACGGCCCAAGAGGCCCTCAAGATCTGCCCAAGATCGTGCACGAGGCCTCCAAGATGGCCCCATGAGGGCTAAAAAGGCCCCCAAGACGGCCCCAAGAGGGCCCGAAGAGGCCTCCAAGACGGCCAAGATGGCGTCCAAGACGGCTCATGTTGCCTGAAAATGCTTCTCAGATAGCCTAAAACGCACCGAAGACAGCCTAAGATGGCGTCAAGATGGCCACAGACGGCGCAAGAGGCCCCCAAGAGGCCTTCAATACGGGCCAAGAGCCCTCCAAGAGGTCCTCCAGGTGGGTCCGACGAGGCCAAAATCGCTGATTGTCCTTATGTTTTGGAAGGATTTGAGAATTTGCTTCTCCTCGGCATTGGGACGGCTCAAGACGGCCCAAGTGGCCCCCAAGATCGCCCACGACGCCTCCAAGATGGCCCCATGACGGCCCAAGAGGCCCCCAAGACGGCCCCAAGAGGGCCCTAGAGGCCTCCAAGACAGCCAAAATGGCCTCGAAGACGGCTAAGATGGCCCCACAATGCCTCCAAGACGGCCCAAGATGCACCCAAGACGGCCTAAGATGGCCTCAAGATGGCCTCAAGATTGCCCAAGAGGCCCCCAAGAGGCATCCAAGACGGCCCAAAAGGCGTCCAGGAGGTCTTCCAGGAGGGCACGAAGAGGCCAGCATCATTGATTTTCCTTATGGTTTTGAAGGATTTGGGAATTTGCTTCTTCTCGGCATTCCGACGGCTCAAGACGGCCCAAGAGGCCCTCAAGATCGCCCAAGAGGCCTCCAAGATGGCCCTTGACGGCCCAAAAGGTCCCCAAGACGGCCCCAAGAGAGCCCCAAAACAGCCCAAGAGGCCTCCAAGACGCCCAAGATGGCCTCTAAGAACCCCTGATATCCCCCAAGAGGGCCCCAAGACGAGCCAGACACGCCCCCAAGACGGCTTCCGACGGCGTCAGACAAGCCAGGAACGCCCTAAGACTGCCAACGAGGCCCCCAAGGCCCCCCCAAACCCTCCAAGAGGCCCCCAAGAAGCTCCCAGGAGGCCCCAAGAGTACCCCGAGTGGCGCCCAAGAGGCCTCCTCCTCCTCCTCCTCCTCCTCCTCCTCCTCCTCCTCCTCTCTTTTCCTCATCCTCCCCCTCCTCCTCTTCTTGCTCCCCCACGCGTTCCCCGAAGTGTTTCCAAACCGACTCGGGGAACAACTGGCCCGATAGCTTGTCCAAGCTCTGGCTCAGCTGTCGGCCATAGAGGCGCTTCCAAAGGGGAAGGGGGCGGCGGTGATTCGCCGTAAGCGCCTTCGACCCACCGCCCCCTGTTGGCTTGCCACAAGGGGCTTCGGCCCGTCCCGCCGGCCACCCGGAAAGATCTTCCAGAGGTGGTTGCCAAGGGTTTTTCCTGCTCCAGACAGCTCCAAGACAGCCCAAGATGGCCTCCAAGATCGCCCAAGACGGCCAAGATGGCCTCCAAGACGGCTAAGATGGCCCCAAAATGCCCCCCAAACGGCCCAAGATGCACCCACGACGGCCCAAGATAACCTCAAGATGGCCCAAGAACCCCCTAAGAGGTCTCTAAGACAGCCCAAGATGCCATCAATAGGTCCTCCAGAAGGCCCGAAGATGCCAAAATCATTGATATTCCAATGATGTTTAAAGGATTGTGGCATTTGCGCCTCTTCGGCCTTCCGTCGGCCCAAGAGGCCCCCAAGATCGCCTCAAAATCGCCCAAGAGGTCTGCAAGATGGCCCCATGACGGCCCAAGATGCCCCCAAGAGGCCCCCAAGAGGGCCCCAAGAGGGCCCAAGAGGCCTCCAAGACGCCCAAAATGGCCTCGAAGACGGCTAAGATGGCCCCAAGATGCCTCCAAGACGGCCCAAGATGCACCCAAGACGGCCTGAGATGGCCTGCAGATGGCCTAAGACAGCCCAAGAGGCCCCCAAGAGGCCTCCAAGACGGCCCAAGAGGCCTCCAAGAGATCCTCCAGGTGGGTCCGAAGAGGCCAAAATCATTGATGTCCTATGGTTTTTGGAAGGATGTTCGGCATTTGCGCCTTTTCGGCCTTCCGACTGCTCAAGACGGCCCAAGAGGCCCCCAAAATCGCCCACGACGCCTCCAAGATGGCCCCATGACGGCCCAAGAGGCCCCCAAGACGGCCCCAAGAGGGCCCAAGAGGCCTCTAAGACAACCACAATTGCCTCCAAGACGGCTAAGATGGCCCCACGATGCCTCCAAGACGGCTCAAGATGCACTCAAGACGGCCCAAGATGGCATCAAGATAGCCTCAAGGTGGCCCAAGACAACCCAATAGGCCCCCAAGAGACCCCCAAGACGGCCCAAAAGGCGTCCAGGACGTCGTCCAGGAGGGCATGAAGTGGCCGACATCATTGATTTTCCTTAGGGTTTTTGACGGATTTGGAAATGTGCTTCTTCTCGGCATTCCGACGGCTCAAGACGGCGCAAGAGGCCCCCAAGATCGCCCAAGAGGCCCCCAAGATGGCCACATGACGGCCCTAAAGGTCCCCAAGACGGCCCCAAGAGGGCCCCAAAGTAGCCCAACAGTCCTCCAAGACGCCCAAGATGGCCTCTAAGAACCCCTGATATGCCCCAAGAGGGGCCAAAGACGACCCAGACAGGCCCCCAAGACGGCTTCCGACAAGACAGGAACGCGCTAAGACGGCCAAAGAGGCCCCCAGGAAGCCCCCCAAGGTCCCCAAAAACCCTCCAAGAGGTCCCCAGGAAGCTCCCAGGAGGCCCCAAGAGTGGCCCAAGAGGCGCCCAAGCTCCTCCTCCTCCTCCTCCTCCTCCTCCTCCTCCTCCTGCTCCTGCTCCTCCTTCTCTCGTTTCCTCATCCTCCCCCTCCTCCTCTTCTTGCTCCCCCACACGTTCCCCGAAGTTGTTTCAAACCGACTCGGGGAACAACTGGCCCGATGGCTTGGCCAAGCTCTGGCCCAGCTGGGGCGGCGGTGATTCGCCGTAGGCTTCTTTGATAACGCCAACGTTTCGCTGATGACTCTTATCCGCCCCCGCATGCTGTTCCCAGATGCGTCAAGGCAGCGCCGAGACGCACCGACGCGATCCTGTTATATCGCAGTATTATAGTGAGGGGGCCGGCGGCAGGGGGCGAAGCCCTTACGGATAGCATGAAAAAACAAGTGCAATCCAACCAAACATTCCACATACATTACGATTTCCAGAAACTGTATAACACATTTTGTTTGCATCTCTCATTTTATGCCCGCATCATTCCGCCAATCATCTGGGAGCTTCCGCCAACACACTTGATGCCAACGTATGGTATGCGCGAAAAGATCTGCAATCAACACATCCAAACACGTCAGAATACTAACTTCCCCAACAAAAACAGAAGGGCTCAAACAATGTATGCTCAGACGGGGCCTTGGAACAACACACAAACTAAAGCAATACAAAAACGTTACGTTCTGCTTGCGCGAAGTTATCTCGGAATGAGCAAATCACATCACAGGAAAAACACCAACTGATACACATTCGAAATTCTTGAACCATGAAATTTAAAAGACAAAATGATCCAGCTTGCACGACGTATCCCCGAAATGAACAAATTAAACACACAAAACCCATGACAACAATTACACATGATATACCCTGTAATTCTAACATATCGTTAACTTTACCGTGATTGCACGTCTGCTTGCTCCGTACACGATATTAGAGATCAGAACGGGTCCAACAACAACTGATTAGCAAATCTGTCGCGGTTGCGCGTTTCCTCTCTCAGTGTGGGGCGCTCGAGGCCGGCCCGGCTCGAAACATACATTTTAATTCAATTTCTCGCGGTTGCGTGTTTGCTCCCTCCGTGTGGGGCGCTCGGGGCTGGGACGGTTCGAAGCAGAATTTGAAATAACACATTGTCGGATTGGACCTTTGCGTCCTCCGCGTGGGGTGTTCGATGCCAGAAAGGTTCGAAACGCAATTTCCAATTCAATGTGTACCGCTTTCGTGATTGCCCCCTTCCGCGTGGGGCGTTCTGGGCCGGGACGGTCCGAAACATCATGTTTACTTGAATGTCTCGCGGGTGCGCCTGATTTCCCTGTGTGGGGGCTCCTGGGGCCACAACGGCTCGAAGCATAATTTTCAATCAAACTTAGTGCAGTTGCGTCTTTGCTCTTTCCGTGTGTGGCGCTAGAAACCAGGCAAAATTTGAAACAAAATGTGGAATCAAAATTGTCGCGGTTGCGCGTTTGTTCCTTCCATGTGCCGGGGCCGGGACGGTTCTTGTAATTGAATTAGTCGCGGCTGCGCCTGTGCTCCCCCCGTGTGAGGCGCCTGGAACCATAACGGTTCGAAACAAATTATTGAGATTCAATGTCTCGTGATTGCACGAATGCTTTTACGACACCGTCGCAAGAACGTGTGCGAACAACACATGCAAACACGTCGCGTCACTAATTTGTCTGAAACTACAAAACTCAGAAGACATTGCGTTGAACCCGCACTTGAAGTAATACGTGCACCGTCAATTCCAACATAAAAACATTACGGTCTGCTCCCGTTGTTCGACACGGACAACTCACAACGTGAGCAAAAACACAACAACAAGAAAACTGGATCTTCAAACGGTTGTCTCCCAACGGGGCATTTGCCTCAGTGGAAATGAACTCTGGTAGGGGCCTATGAAGAGGGAACTTGGGTGGGGGCTTATCCCAACATCATTGATGAATTTGGACCTACAATGTAACTCCCCCTCCTCCTCTCTCTCCTCGTCTTCCGCTTCTGGGTTATTCTTCCGGCTGCGTGTCCGCGGGGGAGCCTCCTCTCCCTCCTCCTCCTTGTCCTCCTCCTTGTCCTCCTCCTCCTCCTCCTCCTCGTCCTCGTCCCTCCTTGTCCTCCTCCTCCTCCTTGTCCTCCTCCTCCTCCTCCTCCTCCTCCTCCTTCTCCTGCCCCTCCTCCTCCTCCTCCTCCTCCTCCTCCTCCTCCTCCTCCTCCTCCTCCCCGCCCCCGATTCTTGCCCGAGCACCTGCGAGGGCGGCGGCGTTGGCAGGTGGTCCCTTCTCCCCGTCGTCGTCCTCGTCCTCGTCCTCGTCAACCTCCTCCTCCTCCTCCTCCTCTTTCCCCTCCTCTTTCTCCTCCTCCTTCTCACCCTCCTCCTCCTCCTCCTCGTGCTCCTCCTCCTTCCTCTTCCTCCTCCTCCTCCTCCTCCTCCTCCTCCTCCTCCTCCTCCTCCTTCTATTCCTCGCCTGCTTCGCGGGCGTTCGGGCCGCGAATCTGAGGTCTTTCCGAGGGCCCCCGATATCCTTTTCCCTCCTCCTCCCCTCCTTCCCCCGCACCCCACTCCCACTGTCGCCCCCCTCCGTCCTCCAAGTCAGATTCTACATGGCCACATGTTTTCCGCCAGTAATCCGCCAAACGAAGATGGGAACATGAAGGCACCAGATGGGTGACAGAGCGGACGCTACAGCATAGCAACATGGGCACACCGATCGAACATATTACGTATCAACATCTAGCACGCAGATTACGCACCCGTAATTATTACCCAGACGATGTACGCAACCCTTGCGTAACGCGTGGCCCAAATAGCTGCGCAGGCTCTGTTGTGGCGATACCATTGCAGTGAGTATTATCTAGGGGGCGTTACTTGGTAGGCTCGCGCGCTGCGCGACTCGCAGGACACCGCTCCATGGACAAAGGCTTGATCGACATGAAGAGTGATTCGCCTGGCCCGAAGAGAACGAGTGACGAAGACTCCGAGGATAAGATGGGCGAGGATCTTGAACAATCCACGGGCAGCAGCAACAGGACATGGCAACACGAAGGCAGGAAGTGACGACGAGAGACAGACAGAGGAAAGGGAATGTTATGTTTCGAAGCGCGACACCAGTCAGTTATAGCCCGTGCAGGAACTGCGCGGGGCCGAGCTGCTCCGCTGCTGGGCCTCTCCCCTGCATCTGCCACGCGGGAGGTGCAGGTGCGCAGGCGCGCCGCGAAGTCGAAGCTGAGTCTGCGTAGGACGTTACTATGCTGGGCCCCCAGAAGCTCCGAGGATGGAGCCAATCTCGCAGATCGCACCCCGCAAATCATGGCAAGGCCGAACAGGTCGACCATGGATCTGCGTAGGGCGTCACTGCGCTGGACCCACCAAGCAGCCCTCGAAAATGGCGACAATTTCGCAGATCGCAACCCCCAAGGAGCGAACTCGAATTTGAGTCCGCGTATGGCGTCACCGTGCTGGTTCCCTGGCAACCCTCGAATGTGGTGACAGGTTCACAGACCGCAATCCCCTAGGGCTGGAGAGATCCAATACGAATCGGCGTATGGCGACACGTTGCTCCCCCCTCCAGCAGCCCTCGAATGTGGCAACAAGTTCTGAGATCGCACCCCCATGCATGGCGAGATCTAATGTGCATCCGCGTACTTATGGCGTTACAGAGCTGGCCACCCAAACAGCCTCGAACGTGGCGGCAGTTTCGCAGATCGCAGCCTCAGGGAGGGCGAGGTCTAATCCGAATCCGCCATTTGCGTCGCTGTTCTGGCCCCAGCAGCAGCCCTCGAAAATGGCATCAGTTTCGCAGATCGCAGTGGCCCAGGGATGAGAGAGAAAGGGAGAACGAGAGAGAGAGAGAAGCAAGGGAGGGAGGCAGCAAGGAAGGGCACGACCACAGTGCTCTATTCAAAACGAGATACCATCAACTGAGGGTTGGGAATCCACTCTGCCGACAACACATGAATCAAACACGTGCCGATTACCGAACAGCTGGCATGTGAACCATACCGAATTTGATTTAACAACCTCTCTGCCACCAAGCAAGACAATGCACGCACATCGAACGCACTCATCAGACGAACGAACAACAATCACGCGCACATTCCGCTGAGGCCTATGATGCGTGAACAACATCAAACAAGTCAGCACCACACATACCAGCAGCACCATGGCAAGACACACATTCCACTTATCATCTGACGGACATGCGCCATGTAGGCACTGGAACTCAGAAGGAGAGAAACACAACGACCATACTCAACAATACCACATGATCAGGTGAAATGAGCATGACGCATACGTCGTAACCAAGGGCATACATGAGTCCGCGGCGTGAGTTACCGCACGTGTTGCTGACATATGTTAACGCCAGGCAGACACACTTACACACACACACATCCCACTGGAGAGACAAACGAAATTCGAACACATTTGCAGCGGTTCCCTGGTGGGGATCGGTCGATATTGCATCATTTTTGCCCATCGACCGACCTGGCCCTTCAGGCTGGCAGGACGACCGCGGAGCTGGGGTATGTCCAACTTGTCCACGATTTTCGGCGCCTGGGTACCCTTGCCGCAACCTGGCGGGCCGCACAAGATCATCACCGTCCGCTCCCTGGGGCCTTCGATGGCCGGCTTCGACAAGGCCCTCGTGATGCCATCGCAGCAGTTCCTGTCGAAGCAGACGAAACATCATACACATAAGCTGTCGGCGGCCCAACCGGATGTCTTGGATCTGCCCTGAAACCCCCTTCACTAGCGCGCGGAACGCGCTGGTGGCGGCGCCAGTGGCGCAGAGCAGGTCCAACAAATCCGCGCGGAATTCCAACATGTTTATGTCGTTGCCCTTCTTGGAAAGACGCCGCCTATGCACCAACACTCATCCTCTTCGTTGAACCGATCCTGGGCGCAAGATCGGCGCACTGACCCTGGGACTTTTGACGTCGCAATTTGCCTGCGGCGTGATCCTCAAGTCCTGCCAACCTTTTTTACCAACGATTCATAGTTTGTTCGTTTAGGGTTCTGCGTTGACGGCCGCGAGACCCTAGAAAAAAAAAAAACGGAAACTTCGTCTCGATCTGTCCGAAACGCCGGAACTCAAGACGGGCGCACGGTTGGCATGTCCAGAAAAACAAAACAAACCGAAACCATCACAACCACCAGAAGGAACACCCATGGAGGTTCTTCGTAACTGTGGGCATCCCATTTTGAAGCGCCCAGCTCGAGAAGCCCCTTGTCTGTGAGCTTGGTAAAGCAGCGCGGAATTCATCGCTGAACGTTGCCCGCGGGATGGCGGTGGCGGTGCCGCTCCTCCTCCCTCGGGGATCTAGAGACGCGCGTGTCTAGGACGAATGTATCGGGGGAGGCTGAACCCAGCTGCAGGCCCACTGAATGGGATAGCGAAACGAAAACCAAAACATTAGCCTGACGAAAACCCAACCGCGCGCAGTTGCGAGCGCCGCATCTGTGATGATCGCGCTCAATGGAGCACCTCATGGGGGCGCGACCGTGTGAAGGGGCGCGCCGCAGTGGAACGGCGGCGGCGCGCGGGCGCTGCTACTCGGGCCCTTGGCGGAGCTCCTTGTAAGGCTATCGGCGCGGTTCCCTCTGTCCGTAATATGTTCGATGGGGGGTAACGAGAAAAGCTAAAACGTCCAATATCGTATTTCCCTTCTTTCTCCCAGTGCGCCCGCGCGCTCCAGAGCCCGAGGCCGCGGGCGCAGCGCGGCGCGGACCCCCCGCGACGCGCGACGGTCGCCCCGAGGGGGTTCCGTCGACGCGCGCGGGTCGTCCGCTGCGCGGAGCAGAGAAAGCTAGCTCGCTGGCCGATTGCGGGCAAGGTTCAAGCCGCTGGGCAGAGCGACGACAGGCGAACGAGGCGCTGGGCAGAGCGCAGCGCGGAGTTCCCGCGACGCGCGCCAGTCGCTCCGAAAGCGTCCCAGCGACGCGCGCGGTCGTCCGCGGCGCGGAGCCAAACAGTCAGACCGTCGAGAGGAGGCGAAGCTCGGGCGGGCCCCTCCCCTGGTCAGGCCTCGCGGAGAAACTCGGTGAAGTCCAGCTCCCTGGCGAGGCCGTCGCATCCCTCCGGCACCGCTTCGCGCGCGCCGCAAACCGCTCCAGCTGCTTCCGCAAGCCCTCCGCCGGCCCTGCCGGGAATGACTCGATCTGCGGCGTCCGCGTGAGCGGGAGATCCTCGTGGCACGTGACGCGTGCGAGCAGCGCGAAGAGCTCCATCCACCAGCTGTCGTCCACCTTCTTGCCGTTCCCGATCTCGTGGCGGCCACACTCTAATTTCACGGCCGAGGGAGCGGCACGCCAGACGGCCGACGGTCCAAGGCGAGCCTAGAGTACCGATAAATTGTCTGGCTGCGGACCGCTCGAGCCCAGGCTATGGGGCCACGAAGCGTGTGAAAGGTGCGTTCCTTATGGCGCCACGAAGCGCTGTACTGTGCGCAGGAAACGCATGCGAGTTCCGCCACTGGGACCTTCGGTGGAGAGCTCCCTCTGGGACCATGAAGCGCCGCACTGAACCCAGGAAGCGCATGCGAGCTCCGCCACTGGGTCCTTCTGTGGAGATCCCTATGGGAACGCTGTACTGTGCGCAGAAAACGCATGCGAGTTCCGCCGCTGGGACCTTCGGTGGAGAGCTCCCTATGGGACCATGAAGCGCCGCACTGGGCGCAGGAACCGCATGCGAGCTCCGCCGCTGGGTCCTTCGGTGGAGCTGTGGGGCGACGGAAAGCTGTACTCGGCGCAGGAACCGCATGCGGGTTCCGCCGCTGGGACCTTCGGTGGAGCTCCCTATTGGACCACGAAGCGCTGTGGTGGGCGCAGAAAGCGCATGCGAGTTCCGCCACTGGAACCTTCGGTGGAACGCCCTATGGGGCCGCGAAGCGCTGTGAAGTGCGCAGGAACCGCATGCGAGTTCCGCCACTGGGACCTTCGGTGGAGCTCCCTGCTGTGCCACGAAACGCTGCACTGGGCGCAAGAACCGCATGCAAGCTCCGCCGCTGGGTCATCCGGTGGAGCTCCCTATGGAGCGCCGAAAAGCTGTAATGGGCGCAGGAACCGCATGCGGGTTCCGCCGCTCGGACCTTCGGTGGAGAGCTCCCTATGGGACCATGAAACCCCGCACTGGGCCCAAGAAGCGCATGCGAGCTCCGCCTCTGGGACCTTCGGTGGGGCACCCTCTGGGGCCACAAAACGCTGCACTGGGCGAAGGGACCGCATGCGAGTTCCGCCACTGGGACCTTCGACGGAACTCCCTCTGGGGCCACGAAACGCTGCACTGGACGCAGGAACCGCATGCGAGTTCCGCCACTAGATCTCTGGTGGAGCTCCCTATGGGGCCACGAAACGCTACAATGGGCGCAAGAACCGCATGCGAGTTCCGCCACTGAGACCTCCAGTGGAGCTCCCTCTGGGGCCACGAAACACCGCACTGGACACAGGAACCGCATGCGAGTTCCGCCACTGGATCTCTGGTGGAGCTCCCTATGGGGCCACGAAGCGCTGCATCGGGCGCAAGAACCTCATGCGAGTGCCGCCACTGGGACCTCTGGTGGAGCTCCCTATGGGGCCACGAAGCGCTGTACTGGGTTGGGGGAACGCAGGGAGGAGGAAGGAGGGTAGGAGGAAGGAGGAGGAGGAGGAGGAGGAGGAGGAGGAGGACGAGGAGGAGGAGACGCGGGGCGCTGTCTCTTCAAAACGAAGACCTGACACCACAGGACGGCTGGGGAAAAGCGAAGGTATCTGGTCAAACGCAGGTCGATTAGCGAAACCGACGGGGCCGATGTCGAGTGAGCCGGTGCAGATTTTCTCCGACAACTTGCCTGGGAGGGCGTTCTCACGAGGGACGGTCAGCGTATAGCCCGAGTGCTGGCGAGCAGCTCCCCGCCCCCCGAGCTCCCCATCGCGCGCGCGTGCTCGGTCTGGGGCGCCCGGCTCGCGGGGTGGCGGCGCCTGAGGCTTGCAAAAGCTGCGGGGGGGAGGGTGGCAAGAGTGGTCGGCATCGAATCGGGCCGCATCGGCATGCAGCCGGAATCGAATCGGATCGGCCGCGCCAGGATGCCGAACAGCGCCGTGCACGCATCGGGCCGCATCGGATCGTCGGAATATCGGAATCGAATCGGAGCAGGCCGGCCGAAATGGATATCGAACGGGACCGATCGGATCGAAACGGACCCTGGGGGCGCGCGCAAAGGGTGGACGACTTTGGGCCTTGGGGGCCAGCCCGAGGCGACGTGAACTCCGAGCAACGGAGAAAGCTGCTTCGAGCCTCTCCTCCTCCTCCTCCTCCTCTTTTCCCTACTCCTCCTTCTTCTCCCTCTGATGACACCGTCGCTCTCCCCACCTCTCAGCCAGATGCGATGGTCCTCCGCCTCATCCCTAAACGTCCGACGCCACGATGGACGATGCGTTCTTGGCGCCGCCCCCCTGACTCCTTGACCCCTTCCCTGCAGACCAGCAGCTCATCTCATATTTTTTTGCTTGACGGCCCCAGGGGCCCCAAGCAGGCTCTGGATGCCGAAACTGGAGAAGTGCTCATCGTCGCCACTCCTGCTGTCGGGGGCGCGCAAACATGGATTACCGATCCGTGGATTTAGCGCGCGGTCGCCAAATCCATGGATCGGGGGAGGTGCCCTCCCCAAAAAGCGGTGGATGCCGCCTCGCTCGGCGGCGGAAATCCGCGATTTCTCCTATGGAAACGGGAACCGTCGCTAATCCACGCCCCCTTGATCCAAGTTTGCGATCGCCTGACCATATTGTTTTGTTTGACGGCCCCAGGGGCCCCAAGCGGGCCCTGGATGCCGAAATTGGAGAAGCGCTCATCATCGCCACTCCTCCTCCTCCTCCTCCTCCTCCTCCTCCTCCTCCTCCTCGTCCTCGCCCTTCTCCTTCTCCTCCTCCCCCCCCTCCTCCTCGTCCTCGTCCTCGTCCTTCCTTTTTCTCCTCCTCCTCCTCCTCCTCCTCCTTCTCCTCCTCCTCCTCCTCCTCCTCCTCCTCCTCCTCCTCCAAGGCCCCCCCAAGACGCCCAGACACGTGCCAGGAGGAGCACCTTCGACCCCAGGGGGCCTCGCTCCTCGCCTTCGGCCACCTCCCAAGTCCTCTCTTTCCTTCGCCCCTCCCTCACTCGTCCCCCCTCCCGTCACCCCCTCTTGCTCCACCCACCCACCTCCTCCTCCTTTTCTCGGGGGCGCGCAAGCATGGATTAGCGATCCATGGATTTGGCGCGCGGTCGCGCGCAAGCATGGATTAGCGATCGCCAAATCCATGGATCGGAGGAGGTGCCCTCCCCAAGATGCGGCCGGTGCCGCCTCGCTCGGCGGCGGAAATCCGCGATTACCAATGGAAACGGGACCCGTCGCTAATCCACGCCCCCTCGATCCATGTTTGCGATCGCCTGACTTTCCTCCACTCATCTTCCGTATAGCTAACTCCCCCAATATCGCACCACCAGATGTGTCCGTAGGACGGGCCAAGCGCTTTGCCGAATTCTCATTGACAGCATCCGAGCCACTAACCTGAAGCTACTGATTTCCAGTGTGGATCCCAACCAGTGGGTTCTTGAACTGTGAATGTGACTGTGCAAGGCATGTGGTGACGGCAATGTGGTGAACGCCACGTGGTGCAAGGTAGGTGCAGCAAGATATTTGGTGGAAAGCATCTGGTGCAATCGATGTGGTGCAAGCCATACTTTGGTGCAGTGTATGCGGCGAAACATATGACGAGGGCTATGACGTAAGCTATGTGGTGCAACCTATGCGGTGCAAGCGATGCAACGTGGTGTAAGCTATGTGGTATAAGCTATGTGGTATATATGCCACGTGGCATACCGTACGTGGTGGAAACTGCGTGGTGAAAGCTACGTTGTGCAAACTGTGTGCTGCAAGCATGTTGTGCAAGCTGTGTAGTGCAAACTGTGCAGCGCCCACGGGACGCCCACGAGGCACCCACCATCGGCCACCAAGCGAAACCCACGCGGACCCACCCGTCAAAACGGCGCGCCCACGAGGCACCCACAGGCGGCCGCCAACCGGCCACCAGGCGAAACCCCGACGGACCCACCTAGCGCACGGGGCGCCCACGAGGCGCCCACGACAGGCCACCCACCCAGCACCAGGCGAAACCTCGGCGGACCCGCTCAATTCTTCAGCAACACAAAGAAACGGTAAGTGCCTGCACTGATCGGGAGGGGCAGGAACAGGAGAATGATGAGAGAAGCGGGCAACGGAGGACGAGGAAGCGGAGCAGGAGGATTAGCACAAGAAGAGGACAGGAGGGGAAAATGCCGAGGAGGAAGAGTGTTGCCCCACCCTGTGCACCTGGGAAGGAGACGACAAGAGGTAGAAAGAAGTAGGGAGGCAATGCATCTGGCAACTCCTTCAGGGCCTCTGATGTCCCTCGAGGTCCCAGGAGTCCCTTCCGGAGACCCCAAATATCAAGAGCAGTCAGTTTAAGACTGCTCGCCTTTCGTTGCTCGCGTGTCGCTCAACATGTGTACTTCCAAATCCTCCATACCCGCCCTCATTGTCTTCGACCGTACTTACAGGGGAGTCTACAGTCACTGCCTGCCACGTCATGACACGTGTAGCTGGCGCGGCTCATAAAATGATAAGGGGGAGAAAAGAAAAACGGTAAAGAGCGAGGAAGGGGAAACGAGAGGGGAGGAGTGCAAGAGGTAGTTACGAAGCATGAGGACGCACACAGCTTAGCAGCAGGAGGAGGAAAGCGAAGCAGGAGGGTTGGCAAGCGGACCCCTTTAAAAGGCGGGTCGGGCGGACGGACCCAACGAAAGTTGGGCTGGCGGGCCCTGATGGGCGGGTCGGGCGGCCTGGACATTAAAGCGGGCGAGCGAGGGAGTGTTCGGAATTCGGGCTGCAACAGAAATACGACGCGAGGGAGTCTCGGGCGGAAACCGTTGATGTTGCTGCTGTAGTCAGGGGGGCACCACCGCAATTTGAACACCAAGACTTCACCTGATGAGGCAAGGGTCCGAGAGCCGAGAGGGGCTCCTTCACTTGAACAGCAAAGCGGGCACCAGACAGGAGGGGTAAACAACAGACATGATTCAGCTCTCCAAAAGGGCAACAGCAAAAACAACAAACCAAAATATGATTGGGGTGGTCTAGGGCGCAGCCCATCGCCCAAACCACCAGGCTTAGCCCCAGGCAGTCTGTTCGTGTCTGGCGGCTTCGAGCTGAACGGGCCGAAGCTCACGAAGGAGACGTCGCCGACCTTGACGACGACCACGACGACCACGACGACGACGACGACGACGACGACGACGACGACGACGACGACCGCGACGACGATGACTGCACCGACGACGAGGGAGACGACGGCGACGACCACGGCGACCGACGACGACGACGACAACGACGACGACGACGACGACGACGACCACGGCAACGACGACCACGGCGACGGCGACGACGACGACGACAACAACGACGACGACGACAAGGACGAGGACGACGACAAAGACGACGAACGACGATGGCCTCCTGGGTCGCGGGGCCCGCGTGCTCCGCAGGCTCACGGCGGTGAGGGCCCGTGGAGGAGCCTAGACTCCCAGCGTCATGATTTTTCCATGACGTCGACCCCCAAAGGTCGAGAGTCTCGACCCATCCCCCATGAACGGTTTTTCATCCTGAGTCCTTTTTTGGGCGCGAATTAGTTAATACGGGGCGATACATGGGGGGTAGACAGGTGCCCGTCTTGGGCCCTAAAGGCCCCCTTCTGGACCCGAAAGGGCCCCTCTATGGTCCCTGAAGGGCCTCTTTTCGGCAGCCCTCACTACCCCCCCCCACTTCGCCCATCCCATTGCGGGCCCTCCAAATTACTTGCCGGTCCCGAGGTCCGGTAGGGGCCCCCAGAAGCCGAAAAGAGCGAAAAACCTCCCGTCGTCATCTCTTCCTGTCCCGGAACGGTGTCTGGGGAGCGCGGATCGAGGCTCCGACATCTTTGTCGTCGGCGGCTAGGCAGAATCCCTGCGCTGGCGACAGGGCGTTGGTGCGTGCACGAAGCGCGAATCAAGCCACCATGCGGGAGGGAGGCGGGAGGAGGACGCCCGGCGACGGCGGGAGGGAGGGGGAAGCCGGGCCCGCAGCGATCGAGGCTCAGTCATCTCTCGCCATCGCTCGGACGTCCATTCCCTGTGTTTTTCTGTTGGTTTCGTGCGTGGTTTCTTCGCCAAATGATCAAGGATGCTCCTCGATCGTCTTCGCCGAAGGAAGAAACGCACACGCCCGAGCGATGCCAAGAAATCTAGGTCGCCGATTTTCGCGCCGCGCGCCCCGCGATGCGCCACGTGCGGCTGCCTCTGCGCGCCCCCCCGCGCCGCGGCCCGGGCGCAGGGCGGCCCTCCCGCCGAGCCGCGGCGTGCGCAGTGCGGTTACCTCTTCGCGCCCCGGCAGGTGGCCTGGGAGGTCGGTCGGGGATCCCTCGGCGGCGAGCGAGGGGGGAGGGAAGAGGGGGAAGAGGTACCGATACCGCTTCCCTCCCCTCGGTTTCGCCTATGCAACTTCGGCTCTGTCATCTTGCAGCGCGGAGAGCGTAGCACCGAGGCCACATCCCATCATAGCAGAGTGTTGGGCCGCGCATAACGGCAAAAATCGTCCACGTCTTGAGTCAGTTACTGCACCTCATTATTTGAGGGGGACGAGGTACCGATACCGCTTCCCTCCCATCGGTTTCGCCTTTGTTGAACCACCTGGGAGGGTCTCGACGCCACGGCTGGATTCGCCTCGAGAATCTGGTGAGAAGGCACCCTGGGAGTGGTCCGGGGAGTGGCGGTATCGGAAAAAATTATCCCCCAAGGAAGTGAGAAGGAGGAGGCCTTCTCAGAAGGCGGCGGGGATTCTCAGAAGCCCCCTGGCCTTCTGAGAGGTCTTCTCAGAAGACACAGACTGTGTCTTCGGGGGAGGCTACGAGAACACCTCTCAGAAGGCCCGGGAAATTCCGAGCCTTCTGGGAAGGCCGGCCCCGTCTCGCTTCCCCCCCTGGGCTCGCCGCCGACTAGGAAACCGGTCGAGGATGAACAACTTTTGGACGTGGATCCTCTTACCCGTGCCAGGCGAGGGCACGATTCCACAAGCGCAGGAGCACAACATCGACGAGTCCTTCACTGACCTCCACCATGGCGTACGACAGAAGCCCGAGGAAGGTGAAAGGGGAATGGGATAAAATCTCAAGGATGTTGGATGCTCGTCCTGGGGACCTTCCTGGATATATTCGCTCCACTCATTTGTCGGTGCTGCGTCGAACGTCCGTCGACTCGAATCGACCTCGAATCGAGCTAGAGTCAGACTAGAATCGAACAGATCCGTCAAGCAGGCCCCAGGAAGATCCCGCAAACGAACATCTGAAGGATGACTTCGAGGGCAACTCACATGAATCACAACAGGGAATCCATCAGAAAAATGGAGGACACACAGAACCTGTACCGATTGCCGAAGGCCACCGAAGGGAAACATCATGCGACGTTAGCGGGAGGCGAAGTATACCACAAAAACAAATATTGACAGGAAAGCGAGAGGAAACAGTAAATGGAAACTGAACGCAATCTCAAGCGGTGCGGCTGCTGACTAGGCTGCTCAAACAGTGCCAGCGTACGAACAACACGTGCAGAGCAAGACCCTGAGAAGCAAGCGTGCCTTACACACTCGGCAAATGTGTTCTCCTGGCCGGCTGCACGCAATCAGTGTGCGCATGATGTCTCACACGGGGATCTGCGCAGTGAAATAAGAGCGCCCACAACATGACAAGCTGGTGTAGCATGGGGGACACAGGTCCTGAGGGAAACGGGTCCTGGACCCTGGGGCCTTCCCCCAAGACGAGATCTTCATCCTGAGTCGTCTTCCGGCAGTCCCCTGGGCCGTGGAAGGCCTCGAGAGCTCGAAAACGGCGAAAAACTGCACCGTTTGCCCCATGGCGACTGGTGCAATCTGGCACTGCGATGCGGGCGCGCGTAATGAGACCGCCGTTCGCCCTGGTAAGGGGGACGGACCCCTGTACAATGTAACGGGGGAGATACTGCGCCAGCGGGAGGGCGGTCAGCCTGAAGCCTGTCACCTTTACAGTCAAGACGCTGGAATAAGGAACAAGTTGGGTTCGAAAGAGGCTCGATGCTTCTCAGGTCCTTCCGTGGTTGTTTATCTGGCCCTCCTCGTGCACACAGCCGCTTCCGAAAACAACAAAAACGCTTCGTTCACTATTTAGCGTTCCTTATGGCAGCAGCTTGGCTGTATAGAAAAGTCATGGGATGGCGGCTCGAAGACGGCAAAAGGCATGGGGTTTCTTCGCAAAAAGCATGCTGGCCAAAAGAACGGATCGCGTGGGGCTTCTTCTTAAATGTCGTGCTTCTGTGGAGTTCTGGCATCTCCCTGCTTTTCAAGATAGCACTGTTCCAAGACGGCCTCGACTGAGCCAACGACCGCAGATGAGGACTGTGACGCGGGCCCCCACTGAGCCCTTAGACGGCCCAAGGTTGCCCCAAGAGAGCCACCAGAAAAACCGAATATGGCCAGGAGAGACGCGAACCGCCCATGACGGCCCCAAGGTGGCCCGAGATTCGACCCAAAGCGCAGCGAGTCGGGGAGGAGAGAGAGAGAGAGAGAGAGAACATCAGTGACATGTTGCCGTCGGTGACCATCAGTGTGCTACGCTGTCGTGCTTATCCGAAGGAGTGGCGTTCTTCAACAGTAGCACGCGGATGGATTCCCCACGGCGGCTTGTCATGGATACCGCTTTTGCTCCCCGAACAGGGTGCCCCGCGAGGGTTCCCTGGACGGCCCCGCGAGAGCCCAGGAACGCCCCCTGGGGGTCACAGAAGCCCCGATCGGCGGCCGAGGACCTGGGAGACGCGCGCTCACCCGCGAAATCTGCGTTCGCTGTCGACGCCAGGGCTTCCGCCAGAGCAAAAGAAGACTACATATACATAATCGGTGGCGAACGAGGGGGGGAAACGAAAGGCCTCCTCAGGTGGCGGCGGGGCAACTCAGAAGCCGTCCGGCCTTCTGACAAGTTTCCTGCGTCTTCGGGGAAGTGTTGAAGAATTCCTCAGCAAGCCAGAGAACAGCCGTGCCTTCTGAGAACGCTTGCCCCTTCTCGCTTCCCCCCCTGGGCGCGCCACCAAAAAAAGAGGATGAGGAGGAGGAGGACGACGACGACGACGAGTACAAGGACGAGGAGGATCAAAAGGAGGAGGAGGAGGAACCAGGAGGAGACCGACGGCGAGGAGCGGGAGGACGAGGAGGAGCAGGGCAAGGAGGAGCAGCGAGGAAGGCGAGGACCCCCCGGGGCGTGCCGCCGACAAGAAAAAACCTCAGCAACACTGACTCGCAGAGGTCCGAGCGGACTTCGCGGATCGGCGCAGGGTCCCCCGCGTTTCGCATCTCTCACGCGCTTCGCGCGCTGGAAATGTGGGGCCCAAAAATCCAACACATCCGCGCGGATATTCGGTAGCCTGTGCTTAAGCACCGTGTTCCAGACCCCCGCGTACACGGACTGTTGCTCTACCAAAACGCTGGTGCGTGGAAACCTTCTCCAGTACTCGGTCCCTCCACCTGGTATTTCCTGAATCCTAATTTGTGATGTCCTGACAGGCCTGACCTGGACCGAACCACATAACCGGATCGGGTCGCAAGAGAATCGGCCCGAACCGGATCGAAGTCGGATCGCCGCGCGTGGCTCCGTCTGGCCAAGGCCGACGCAGGTGAATCGAAGCGAACGGAATCGAACCATAATCGCAACCCCCGGCGGGGAATTGAATCGTGACGACTCGGATCATACGCGGCTCTGTCTGGTTTCTGGGACCCTTAAAATTAGACTTTCGACTTGCACTCGGCGAAACCACCAATTCAGACTGGAACGATGGGGGCAACGCCACCGGGGGGCCCCGGGAGGTGCAATAAGTCGCTTGCGCAAGCGATTGTGCGATCTGTTGCTGGGGCGCGCGCACTATTGAAAGAGGTTTGGTCTACTGCGTTAGGAAGAAGACACGATTGCACCCGCGCGCAACGATCGCGCCCAAGCCGCAAACTGCTTGCTGCATCCATGCAATAACTACTGCAACTGCGATTGCACCTACCCCCACCACAGCCGCATATATGATCAAACGCGCTATCATCTAAGAACTCAGGGCAGATGTTACGCAAATTTCTTCGAACGAGTCCGGGCCGATGTGCGTCGTTAGCGCTGGGGGGCGAACGTGCGCAAGAAACTGCGCCTGTTTTCTTGCCAATCGGTTGAAAAACGATGGCCGAAGTTTTTCGGGCAGAAATTTTTCATCGGTAAATGCTCGACTGTTCGCCGCCTTAGAACTAGGGCGCCGCACGCCATCAGCTTCGAAGAACGAAAACGGCCGCCCTCGCCCAGTCACCGGCCGGGGCCCTGCTCAGGCCAGGCCCCTCGGACCATTGGACAGGACGCCGCCAAATATGGCCGGCCCCTGTCCCGTCGACGCGGCAGCGACCCCGCCGCGGGCGTTCAAGGTTGAACGCCGCTGGTGGCCCAGAATGGGCCAATACAGAACGATCTGGCGATCGAGAAACCGCCGATCGTTCAAGGTTGTGTTAGATACTGACGCGGCGTTCATCACGGCGCGGGTCTGCCGTACACACATCGGTCGGAAGAAGTGCGCGCGGCAGGTTCGCGTCGCGCCGACTTTGGCCTTGGTCCCTGACGCCGCGGCGATCGCGCGACCTTGATGGGACGGAGATTTCCGGGACGTCAGACCGTTCAACATCGACTGGTTCTGGGTCGCTGGCGGCGTTCAGCGTTGAACTCTGGCGGCGGAGTCGCCGCCGGTCGCCGCGACGCGAATCTACCGCAGAGACGCGAAGAAGAATGGCGTCGCGCGATGCGGGGATGCACCCCAATCGACCGCCTGTGGAGCAGGCGCCCTGGGACCCCGGCAGGCGGTGGACACGGGTATGGGTATGATTATGGGCACATATGTATATATATACATATATATATACATATCTATATATATATATATATATATGTGCACGCGCGCACGTGCGCATGTGCGCACGCGCGCATGCATCCCGGCGGGCGCGTTTGCACCTGGCGGCGGTGCATTCGCGTACGCGTGTGCGCGTGCGTGCATGTATGGACGCACGCATGTTCGTTTGTGTATGTATGTATATGAGTATGTGTTTGTGTATGTATGCATGTGCGCACGCGCGCATGACTGCTCGCATGGCATGCGCACGCGCGCACGCGAGTGTGTGTATCTAACTGAATCTGCCTCTGAAGAACCTCTGAACGCATCTGAAGCTCCTACAGGCGCCTCGGAAGGACCCCTAGACGACCTGAAGAGCCTCTCGGGCCTAGATTCCGAAGAGCCTCTGGACGCCTCTGAAGGACCTCTAGAAGCCTCTAGACGCCGCTCAGGGGCCCCCAGAAGCCCCCTCC